AATACTCGATAAGCGTTCTATGATCAAAGGAGTCGATATCAGTCGTCCATTCAAAATACTCCCAACATTCTTCTTCTTATTTACCACTCCCAAAAAAATAATAAATGGGCCTCTCATGGGGGAGGGGGACTGTGATTTCTCTATCTTTCCTCTCTTCATTCTCTTCCTTGCCACATCGAGTAAAGGACTTCTCCCAAGGAAAGACTTCGTTTGTAATCAACTGCAAATACTAGCTAGTGGATTCATTTAAATTGGGCAAGGCTCTAAGAGTTTTCCCTCTCTGGGGTTTCCACGTAAAAACTTGTGTATCTCTTATAAATTATACAAACCTATCTTTTATATGATTGTGTGTTGGATCTTTGTACAAAACTAGGACGTCAAACTTTATATTTATTTAACGCCGCAAATATTCCAGAATGCAATAGTTTGACACCATCTGTGAGAATGTCGTTCATGACTAGGGGGCAATTTTTTTTCCAATCTTTAAGGGTCGTTCTTGTCAAGGTCCTGACTGAGCCAATGCTGAATCAATTTCATATGAATCAGATGTAGATTGGGGGGCAACTTTAATTGCAACCATAGTAAAAAAAATTCGTCTAAAGCTTTTAGCATCCAAGACAATATCTTGAAAATTTATTTTACATAAAGCTTTTAGCAAATGCAAGGATACTTCCAATAAATTGCAAGCTTTATATTGTTCATAGTTGGACTTCTACTTATTGAGCAAGGTCTGAATCTCGACCTCAAAAAGATAATAACGGTCTAAAGATATAACATTCTTCACCTTTGATTCGAGATACACACTGACTACAGTCCTCCCAACTATCTTTGCTCTCAATAACATTTTTATTTGGCTATTATTTTTTTGTTGCATTTGAGAAATTTTTATGCTATGAAGTTTTTTTTTACGATAACTTTTAAAAAAGTTAAATTCATATAATCAACTTTTCAAAATTGAATTGTACTGAATAATCAAACCGTGAATTGATGATCCTTTTAAATTTTTCTCAAAAAAAAAAAAGATCCTTTTGAAAATTGAATAGGCTGATCAAGGAACCTGAGTAAAAAATATGTACTGAAACAGTGATTGAACTAAGGAATCATTGGATTGACTTTAATGAACCAAATAACTCTTTCAATCATTTCAATTGGAAGAATAAGATAATATTCATCATAATGATCCTTTTACATCGAGCTATTATCATTTTTAAAATCAATTGAATTGTACATATCTCTATATATTCTTCTCTTAATTATAACATTTGTAAATGCATTGCATCGTTTGAATCTTTCTTTTCTCTCCTTCAATGTCCAATCTAATTAAAACCCTTTAATCGTTCAAATCACAACAATATAAAATCAACAAATGAAGACCAAGTAGAGTAATGGCAGAGGTAATCGGCGAGGAAGGTAGCTTTGTCTTTGGATGTTTCATTTTGTGGCTGTGGTTGTTGCTATTTGGAGTCTGCTGGATGGTTTGGTTTTGGCTGCTATTACTGGTTGGTTTCTATGTTGGCTCTTTGCACTATTGTTGTGATTCTTGATGTTGGATTGGACGATGATGAGGAGGCCCCTACTGCCCCTTTGTGGCCTCGCTAGTTGGCAACCTGGGTAGCTCATCGGTTTATTCAACCTCTGGATGGTCCGTACTCGGACACTTGGCTGGTGTTGGGGGCCTCCATACTGTGTCCCCCTCACCCCTTAAATTTTTTTGCTTAGCTTAGGTTTTATGGCTTTTGGTTCATTGGCTTTTGTATCCTAATTTGTATCCCTTGTTTTTTATTTAATAAAATTTTTGTTGAAAAAAAAAATGAAATCCATCTCACATGAGATCATCTACTCTTTTTTTTTTTACTGTGATGGCCACTTTTCTCGCTGTTATCTGTCACCAGCTAAGAAAAAGAAAGGATAACGTGAAGAAATGCATGACAGAAGCAGATGGAGAAAGGTCATTAATTTTATTTCCTATGGAGGAAAAACAGTTGAAGAACTCCTTACAAAGAAAACAATGAGATAAATATTTGAAAGTAAAACATCAACAATAATACAGTAAGACAATTGAATGCGACATACGATGTTTGACAAATATTGCTCACACAAAAATAAAATAAAAACAACTTTTGTCAACTGAATATAATGTATGTAATGTATCTTTTATAAGAGGTTCACCTAACCACCATAGCTTATCTTAGGCTTCATTTGGGACGCCTTTCTTACGTTTTTTTTTTAAATTGATTTTTAGTAGAAAAAATTTTAGTTGAAAATTTTTTGTACTAAAAATCTGCTTTAAAAAGTAGACAAAAAGTCGTCACAAACGATGCTTTAGGTTTCTTGAAGCAGCTTTTTAGTACAAAAATTTTAATTTTTATGCTAAAATTTTGATTTAAGAAGCAGAAAAAAAAAATCCGTCCTAAATGACGCCTCCGTTTGGGATGGCGTTGTTATTGATTCTTAAAGCATGTTTTTGTTGAAAATTTTTAAAATTTAAAAAATTTGTGTGCTAAAAAACATCATTCTCAAACAAAACCTTAATTTCTCTTTCTTAACAAGTTCAAAAAAAAAATCATAATAAAATTACCACACTAACGAGGTTATGAAAATTGTTTATTCCACCGTGTACGATAGTTACCTATCTTTTTAGGGAAGAAAACTCATAGCAGTTATATGATGAAACGAAACCCAACCCTATAATCAGATAATGGTTGTGTCGAGAAGCAATCTTAGCTTTTAAGGACATTTAAAAAAATTTGAAAATACTTTTGAATTCTAATTAATTATTTATCTAGCAAAAAAAATTACCCCAAATTTTATGCTTCTTAAATTTCAGGGTGGAGATGACATATTTTTTAAATTCGGGTTTGTAATTTTCTTAACTAGGGGTCTGTTTAGGACAATTTTCTCAATATTTTATTTTTCAAACTACAATTATAATTTTATTTAGCTGATTCTTCTTTGAAAGTTTTATGATGAAAATTTATTTTTTACGATCATATTTATTAATATTTAGTAACTTAAGAAAATAATTGTTTGTTATTTTAAAGAATAACATATTTATAATAACCACTATAATATTTAAAAAAGAGTTCATCTTGATTGACTTCACTGTTCGTCTGATTTTGAATCCGATTCTTCTTCGGTGTATTGTGGAGGTTCTGATCATGGACATGATCTTAAATTGGTTCATGATCGCCCGATTGTCTCTATTGGAACTCGTGGGAGGGGCAGACGGGGTAGGTAGTTTTCTTGGTTTTTTTGGCCCTCTTCTCTGGTTGGTTTTTTTTTTTTTTTTTTTTTTGGCAGACGGGGTAGGTAGTTTTCTTGGTTTTTTTGGCCCTCTTCTCTGGTTGGTTTTTTTTTTTTTTTTTTTTTGTGATTCATTCGAGTTTTGTTGGTCGTGGATTCGCTGGGCTATGATGTGGCTGGGGCTCATTTCTTCGTCGTCATGGCTAATGGCAACCTTTGGTATTCGTCTCTTGCTCGAGTGGCTTAGTTAGTCGGTTGGCTTGATTTTGTCGCGTTTATCTTCACCAAATTGGAGGGTCTGTGCTTGACTTCGAGAAAGCTAGAAGCCTCAGCCACTGACTGAGCCATTCAGTTTGAGTCTTATTGTTTTTTTTTCTCTTATTTTATGTCACTAGCTTCATTGTCTCCTGTACTTTTTTTTTTGGTTTAATATAATTTTGTTTTTGTTAAAAAAAAAAATTATCTTTCTCATAACAACTTTACAAGCATGCTTATAGGATGTTATAGCCTTCCGAATTAGATCCTAAATATTTTCTTATTTTTTGAACCGAATTCAATTTGTTTTACTTTTTCTCCCTAGGAAAATACTGTTTTTCTTCTATATTTTTTTTATTTTATATTTTATTCTGAAAATCAGAATATTATGTTTTAATTATTATTCTGTTCAATGTGCTTTGCTCCAAACTCAGGAATCTGCGACCATTACGTGTATCATCGTCTCTGAAGAAGACTCCACTGCCGTTCTTCGTTTAGAACAAGTACGGACCTTCAAGTCTACAAGAATTGTTCTAGAGAATATATATATATAGAAGAAGATTTGAATTTGAAGTCACTTCTGAAATATTAGATCCTAAATGTTAACCCGGTAACTAGCGCGGTTCAGGTCCTGTTTAAAAATCTTGACCAGTTTATAAAATCGGATCTGGTTCGAGTTGACATGTTTAGACCTGGGTCAACTCGGGTTTGACACAAGCACAACTCATCGATCCGTTTTGACACCCCTAATTTGATGTCAGACTTTTGAAGTATTTTTGATATATTGGGAAAATTTTTAGCAAACTCACACATATATCACATAAATGAGATTTGAATCTAAGATCTCTTGATTGATAACCAATACTCTGAACCAACAGACAAAGATGAATTGTTATATTACATATTCAACATGAAATTTTTCATAGCATTTCTCTTTATTATATCTTTATCATCAGGTCACTCTTTTTATTAAATTTTGATCAAAATATTCTCAACCAATTTTTTTAAAATGTTTTTGGGAAGTATAACAAGATTAGAATATAGGAAATTAATTTAGTCAAAAAATTTATGATGCTACTAGGAATTTAGGATGTGCACTGAAAATGTTGGATTTTTTTTTAAATGAATGCATTATAAATTTCTTTATATGCAACATTAATTTCAAAGTAAATCTAATATTTTCATGAAATTTTTAGATTAGGCCCAATCCCCCTTGTTGAACGGGCAACTGAGTTTAGTTTGCGTAGGTTCAATAATAATAATAATAATAATAATAACATTTATAGTTTAATGCCGACGGTACTCCCGCTGGTAAAGCCATTTCAAGATTTATAGTTTCGTACTTCTCAATTAGATCTTAAACATGTATAGTTTAAGGCCTTCCCCTAGAATGCAATGGAGTGGGCGGACGTCTAGGGTTTGCTTCTTCTCTGCGCGCGCTGCTCTTCATCCGCCTCCTCCCTCCGGCGCTGCCGGAGGCCAGCTTCCCTCTCCTCTTATGCATGGATTCTTCCCTTCTTCCCTCAGCTTTTCCTCCGCTTGCCTCGTCTTCTGGGATCGGGGCACGTTCTACTCCGAAAGACTGGTCTCAGGTTTTTGTTTCTGGCAACTCTACTCTGAATTCCATCAAATTTTCTCATTTTCCGGAAGAGCCAGATGTGATTCCTTTTTCGGGAGACAAGCTTCAGCAAGGTGGGGAGGATTGGAAACTTTGCTTGGTTGGTTATTCGATAGGGAGACGGCCCTATTATGAAGCGCTTTTGGGAGCCATCAAAAAAACTTGGAGCTTAAAAGGGTCTGTTCAGCTTCTTTCTCTGAGCGATGGCTTTTTTCTCCTGAGATTCTCCTGCTGTGAAGATTTCGACATGGTTTGGTCGAGAGGTGTTTGGTTCCTGTTAGGTAAACCTTTTGTGTTACAGAAATGGCATCCGAAATTTACTCCTATGAAGGAGGACTTTTCCTCTGTTCCTATCTGGGTGAAAATTCACAACTTGCCGCTTGCTTGCTGGAATTCTGAGGGTATGTCGAGGATTGCGAGCAAAATAGGTATCCCGCTTGCTGCTGATAATTTGACTGAACAAAAGACGCGTCTTACTTTTGCTCGCATCTGTGTTCTTGTGGATCGTAATGCTACTTACCCAGAAGAGATCAAGGTGTCGCTGGATGGTGATGTTGTCTGCTTAAAAGTTCAATACGAATGGAGACCATCGCCCTGTGAGCACTGTAAGTCTTTAATGCATTATTCATCATCTTGTCCCTCTCAGCCCGACAAGGAAAATAATGAAAAAGACAAGATGGCTACTAACTTTCGGGGTAGAAGCAACAGCAGAAAACCTCGTAAGCGTTCTTTTTCTAATAATAACAGAGTCTCTAGGCCACCTGTTCACACTATTGCAAAGCCGATCATCCCTGAATCTGCAGCTGTTACTACTGATATCCATGATCCTCCCAGTTCGAATCTGGTTGCCTCCATCCAGATTCCTAATGCCCAGGGAATCCCTCTGCTTTATCAACCTCATTCCCCCTCGGCCTCCCCCTCTGGTTTTCCGAAATCCCAAAGGACCCAAATAGCTGAAAATCCTGTGGGGAATGATATCCCCAATCTAAATTCCATATGCGAAGAAGCTTCTTCTTCCTCTAGCCTACTGTTTGTCAAGCCCTCCTCTCTTCAGCCAGAAATTACCTCTCCCAACAAGTTTGATGCATTAAACATTGAGGAGGATTCTTGTTCACAATTGGATCCTATTTTGGACTCTAACAGTGATAGACAGAATGAGGACTTTGAGGAGGTTAAGTCTAAAAACAGTAAAGCCTCTCAGAAAAGTAAAGTGCCAAATTCTGGTGCTGTTTCGAAAAAATCTGCTAAGGGGAAGCAGGTCAAAAAACCCCAACACCTCTCAAATTCTTAATGTTTTTTCCACCCATTGCGGCGTGGAATATCAGGGGGTTTAATCGTCCTGATAAGGTTCTTTGTTGTAAACGTCTCATTCAGTCTTTTAATCTGGATTTGATTTGCATTCTAGAAAATAGGATCAATGTGGCTTCTTTACTTGATCCTTTTTTTGACACTTCTCACAGTCTTTTTGCAAACGAAGGTAGCTGTCACAATTTTACTCTCTCCAGTTCTGGGAGAATCTGGGTAAAATGGAATGCCTCTAAAATGAACTTTATGTCTAATATCATCTCTTCTCAGATGATTTCTGGCACTATCACTGTTGCTAATGTTCCTATCCTTGAGCTATCTGTTATTTATGCTGCTAATAGCAGTCAAGATCGGAAATTATTATGGGCTGATATTGCTAAAGCTGCTCCGGATGAGAGCTTTCCTTGGGTTGTCATGGGCGACTTTAACTGCTGTAGATATGCATCTGATAAGCTGGGGGGGATTCCTATCCCCCAATCCTCTCTTGCAGATTTCAATAATATGATCTTCTATAATAAGTTAATGGACTTGCCTTCTATTGGCTGCAAATATTCTTGGTTCAACCAACGTCTAGAAAATCCTATTCACATTAAGCTTGATCGAGCTTTAGTGAATGATAGCTGGCTGAAATCTTTCTCTGACTCCTATTGCTCGTTCCAAAGTCCTTCTTGCTCGGATCATAGTCTGATTATTATTCATTCTGGAAGGAATTTTAAGGCACAGCACAGGTTCCTCTTTAAGAACTACTGGACTTGTTTTGATAAATTTTGGATTCTTCTTCTAGACATCATGAGCTCTCCTTGCTCTGGTAATCCTCTTATTCATTTTTGCAATCTTCTGAAAGGGCTTAAAAGAGGTATTAAAAAGGAAAGCTGGGCCTCCTCCTCCTCTGTTGACTCTCATATTGACTTGCTTCATTCTAGGCAGCGAGATTTGCTGACTAATCTGCAAGAGGACCACACTAATATTCTTAACAATCAGGCTTACAAGGATATTAATGTTGAGTTGGGCAATTTTATTTCTATGCAAGCTTCTTGGATTATCCAAAGGGCTAAAGTGAATTGGATGAAAAACGGTGAAGAGGATCTTAAATTCCTTTACTCTAAAATCAGGAGAAGAAAGGCTTGCTCTAATGTAATTGTTAATGTGACAGCCTCTAATCCCAACTCTACCAGACCTGAGCTTGTTTCCTCTATCATTCATTACTTCCAAGAGCTGTATAACCCCCCTCCTCCTATGCGTATGAATTTGGACATTTTTCCAGCGGGTTCTGTTTTACCTGCTGAGTATGCTAGCTCCATTATTAATCCTGTCACTGAGGAGGATATCAAATCGGTTGTCTTCATGGGAAAATCTATGGCTGCTCCGGGGCCTGATGGATTCAATTTCCATTTCTATAAATCTAGCTGGCATATCATTTGGCCTTTGGTCTGTAAGGCCATTAAATCCTTTTTTCTCAAAGGTTTTCTTCCCAATGGGATTAAGGCCACTGCATTAGCTATCATTCCTAAAAATAAATATGCGGCTAACATCTCTGATTTCAGACCTATTGCTCTTTGCAATGTCCTGTACAAAATTATAGCTAAAGTGATGGCTGAAAGATTGAAACATGTTATGAGCTTAATTGTTAAAAATAATCAAGCGGGGTTCGTGAAATCCAGAGTTTCTACGGACAATATTTTGCTAGCGAGTGACATTTTATACTATGCCGGGAAAAGAGGTGGGCCAAATATTTTTTGTGCTAAACTAGATATCAAAAAGGCTTTCGACTCTGTCTCACGTGAGTTTTTACTTACTAGACTTAATCAAAAAGGCTTCCCTAAGGAGTTTATTTCCTGGATTAGAGCATGCATTTCCGATGTGAATTTCTCTATTGTTCTCAATGGTGCTCTTGAAGGTTATTTCTCATCTTCAGCGGGGTTGAGGCAGGGGTGCCCTCTTAGTCCCTATCTTTTCTGCCTTGTCATGGATGCTTTTTCTAATTTACTTGATGGCAGGGGCTTTAAAGGCATTTGCTCCAATGACTTCTCTCTGTCTCATTTGCTATATGCAGATGACATTTTGATTTTTGGAGAAGCTACTTTAGACAACTGCCGGATTCTGGACTCTGTCCTTTTGGATTTTGCTTCCTCTTCGGGTCTTTATATCAACCGTGACAAATGCTCCATCATGTTCCCCAAGCACCAAATAAATCAACAAGAAATCTGCAATTGCTTGAGCATTCATACCATTGTTAACAAGTTAACCTATCTTGGTATTCCCCTCTCATTCTACAGGCTTAAAATGGAAGATTATTTACCACTTCTGGATAGCATAAACAAGAAATTGAATGGTTGGAAAGCTAATTTGTTGTCCTTAGCTGGCAGATTACAATACCTGAAATTTACAATTCAGAATACTATTGCGTATTGGATTCGGGGTGCTATTATGCCTAAATATGTTTATAAATTCTATAAAAAGCACTGTGCTAGGTTTCTATTTTTTGGGGACTCTTCTTCCTCCAAGAAACTTCATATGGTTTCTTGGGACAAAATTTGTTTGCCAAAGGCTAAAGGGGGCTTGGGGATCCCTTCTATTGCGGCTCTGCAGCATGCTTTTAACTGTTCTGTTATATATAGAATGTATAATTGCTCATCCCCTTTATCCTCTTGGCTTATTCATAAATACAACTCTCCCTGGAAACCCGTTCATGCTAATGCGTCTAAATTTTGGAGAGCTATTACAAAATCTGCAATGGATGCTCAAGCCTGCTTTAAATTTAAGATCACTCTTAATTCCCCCATATCTCTGAAATGGGATCATTGGTGTCATGGGGTCACTATTGCTGAATATTTGGGTGATGTTTCTATTGACCTACTTCCTGAAGGTAGCTTGCTTGATTATGTCTCTGGTAAGCTTTTGAGAACCCCTGATCCCTTGCATCATCGGTTGTTGGAGGCTTATTATAGCAGCAATGTATTAGATATTGATGGGCATTGTTTGTATTGGAAAGACATAAATATTGCTAAGTTCAAGCATTACTTAAGTGACTTTTATTTTGATTTGCCTGTTTGCAATTGGTATAAATCTGTTTGGCACAAAAGGTGCGTTCTTAAGCACTCGGTCTTTGTCTGGCTTGCTTTAATGGGGGGTTTAAAAACTGCGGATGCGCTGCGTATCAGACAGATTCAGGCACCGGTTGAGTGCAGTCTTTGCCACTCTAGTGCTGAATCTGTTTCTCATTTATTCTTTGAATGCACCTACTCTTTCTCTATATTACGTGCCTTAATTCCGAGATCTCAGAGCTTTCTTTTAAGACCCACTATTAGACAGTTATTTGATTGGTTAAATGGTGATTACAATGGAAAGAAGGAATTGAATTTTTATCTGCTGGTGATTGGTTGTATTATATACCATGTCTGGAGAGAAAGAAACAATAGGAGGTTTGGTGGCAATTCACAGTGTTCCACTACTTTGCTGTTATGCATCAAACGTGTTCTTTTTGAGAAATTGCTGAAATGGAAAAATTCCTTGTCATGGTTGGAAAAACTGTAACGCTGCTACTTTGCTTCCTCTTCCTCGGCCCGGATGTCCCTTCGATCACTGCCTGCTTTTTGGGGTATGTCTGGACAATGATGAAGCTCCCTAAGTAGGCCCCTTGGACGGCCTTCGGGCAACCAGGGTTCAGTTTCTATGAATTCATATTTCTGAGTCTAGACATTAATGCCTGGGAGCTGTTCTCTTTAGCCGGATTCCTGAACTATTCTGCATTGCTTATTGATGGTTCATCCTCATTATGGTATTCTGTGATCCCGTGGTGCTGGCTTCTCCATCAATACGTTGCCTGGGAGGTCTCCCTCTGCCTCAAGCAGCTTGTTAGGCTCTCTTACTGGGAAGTTGTTTTCACAAGTTTTTTGTGCCTTCTACCACATTTTGGTTATTACATTCTTTTTCATGTATTGGGTGGTATAGTTGGGGTATAGTTGTGGTTTCTTTCTTCTGCCCACATAAGGTTTTGTTGTCTCTTATGTTGGCAGGTTTTTTGTTCTTATTACTTTTTCTTGTAACCTCTTTTTTACAGTAATTGATGGGCTTTCGCCCCAAATTCTCCCAAAAAAAATAAGGCCTTCCCCTCATGCATGGAAGGGCTCATTTATAATCAACAATAAATACTAATATAATCATTTCAACTAGGTCAAACTCTTTAGTTTTTCTCTTTTTTAGGGTTTTATACATAAAAATCTTGATGTCTCTTATGACTTTGTCACCCCCGTTTTCTATATATGTATGTGTGATGGATCTTCGTTCAAAGCTCATGCATTAAGCTCTTTCTCTCTACCGTCACCAGGGGCGGAATCAGTCTTAATTTTCATGGGAGGGAAACTTATAAGTATATATATATATATATATATATATAATTTTAGTGATTAATGATTCTTTGTACTTGAATTCATAATACATTTTAAAAATATCATCAACATCTTATATAATGAGAATTATTCTTAAGCAAAATTAGGTTGAAATATGGATGATTTGTTTGCAAAAAAAAAAAAGAATCAAAAAGATGTAATTGATTAATCATTCAATTTCTACAAAATGCATGTTGGAGTTGCCTTTAATTTGGCTCGACTCATATTTATTCATATCCTTGATCGTTATACACTTCACAGATATGTCGGGAGTCCAAGGAGGCAGTACCCTTGACGAGGTTTGACCTAAAAACCCTTAGAGGGGCAATTGCCTAAAAACCATAGTATTCTAAAACTTTTAGGGGTGCAATTGCCTAAAAACCATTAAAATAACACCTCGCAATTGCATAAAAAACTCCTATAAACTACCTAAAAAGTCATATAATAAACCTGAACATATAGGGGTTCCGCCCGTGATTTCGATCAATAACAATAATATTCACATCAGCTTTTAAAAAACACTACGTTCCTCACAAAACTTCACAAACACTATTAAAAATTTTTGAAGCCTTCCCAAATAGCTAAATAAGGCCTTAGT